AGGAGGAGCTATGTGACCTCCCACCACAGAGTTACACCACCTAGGAGATGCTATGTGCCCTCCCAGCACAGAGTAACACCAACCATACCAACCAGCAGGAGCTATGAGACATCCCACCACAGAGTGACACCACCCAGGAGGAGCTATGTGACCTCCCACCACAGAGTAACACCACCTAGGAGGTGCTATGTGCCCTCCCAGCACTGAGTAACACCAACCACACCACCCAGCAGGAGCTATGAGACATCCCACCACAGAGTAACGCCACCTAAGAAGAGGAGCTATGTGACCTCCCACCACAGTGTAATACCAACCAGGAGGAGCTATGTGACCTCCCACCACAGAGTAACACCACCTAGGAGGAGCTATGTGACCTCCCACCACAGATTGACACCATCCAGATGGAACTATGTGACCTCCCACCACAGCGTAACACCACCCAGGAGGAGCTATGGGACCTCCCACCACAGAGTAACACCACCCAGGAGGAGCTATGGGACCTCCCACCACAGAGTAACACCACCCAGGAGGAGCTATGGGACCTCCCATCACAGAGTAAACACCACCCAGGAGGAGCTATGTGACCTCCTACCACAGAGTTACACCACCTAGGAGGAGCTATGTGACCTCCCACCACAGGGTGACACCATCCAGATGGAACTATGTGACCTCCCACCACAGAGTAAACACCAACCAGAAGGAGCTATGTGACCTCCCACCACAGAGTAACACCACCCAGGAGGAGCTATGTGACCTCCCACCACAGACTAACAGCATCCAGGAGGAGCTATGTGACCTCCAACCGTAGAGTAACACCATCTAGGCGGATCTATGTGACCTCCCACCACAGAGTAACACCACCCAGGAGGATCTATGTGACCTCTCACCACAGAGTAACACTAACCACACCAACCAGCAGGAGCTATGTGACCTTCCACCACAGAGTAACACCACCCAGGAGGAGCTATGTGACCTCCCACCATGGAGTAACATCACCCAGGAGAAGGAGCTATGTGACCTCCCACCACAGAGTAACACCACCCAGGAGGAGCTATGTGACCTCCCACCACAGACTAACAGCATCCAGGAGGAACTATGTGACCTCCAACCGTAGAGTAACACCATCTAGGAGGATCTATGTGACCTCCCACCACAGAGTAACACCACCTAGGAGGATCTATGTGACCTCTCACCACAGAGTAACACTAACCACACTAACCAGCAGGAGCTATGTGACCTTCCACCACAGAGTAACACCACCCAGGAGGAGCTATGTGACCTCCCACCATGGAGTAACATCACCCAGGAGGAGGAGCTATGTGACCTCCCACCACAGAGTAACACCACCCAGGAGGAGCTATGTGACCTCCCACCATGGAGTAACACCACCCAGGAGGAGCTATGTGACCTCCCACCACAGAGTAGCACCACCCAGGAAGAACTATGTGACCTCCCACCACAGAGTAGCACCACCCAGGAAGAACTATGTGACCTCCCACCACAAAGTAACACCACCCAGGAAGAGTTATCTGACCTCCCACCATAGAGTAACACCACCTAGGAGGATCTATGTGACTTGAAGTTGACGTCTGTCTCTCCCACCACAGGGTGACACAGACAAGAGACAAGGTAGCCACCATCTAAGTAGTAGGACATGGGTCCTGACCTGATGGCTCACGAGGAGAACGATTAGCAAGATACTTTACGGTACATACATTAGCACAGCATTCCATCAGCACAAGAAGGCACTTAAAGAGTAAGTTCACTTTTTGGACAAAAATAATAAATACACATTTTTTTGCAGGTAAAAAAATGTGCATTTATTATTTGTGTCCGCAGGAGCCTGTAAAGCATTGCACCAGCGATAGGTAGATCACTGATACCATGCAGGTCTCCTGCTGTCAGAATATCTGACAGCCACTAAGGCTGTTGGGACTTGTTGGGACAGATGACTGTGAATGAATGACACGGCTGTGTGAGCGGAGCCCCGCATGGCCATGGTTTTTTTAATTTGAAAGCTAGCGAGGAAGTAGAAGATCCCCTGCTAGCTGTCAAAGTGGGGGTCGAGGGGGAGCAGGGGCCGGTCTGAACGGAACATGTTACATGTTATACCCTGAATATGTTATGAAAGGTGAGCTTATCCTTTAATCAATAGATATAAGATTTCACAAAATCCAACAAAATAAAATGAATTAAATATATTGACACCCAAGAACCATTTGAGAGGATTAATCTAAAATGGTTCCAATTAGTCCACGATTGTTCAGTATGAGGAACTCTAAATCTCAACCGTTGAACTTTATCAATGTGAGCAATAATAACGTCCTCAGCTGCTGGATTGTTTGAAATTTAATTACAGCACGCTGTACCCACAATATAGTATACCTACCTCTATGGCTTGCAGATAGATCACCGAAAACAGGTCTACGCTGATTAACTCTTACCACTTCCAGTCCGGACACTTCCCCCCCCCCCCCTTCCAGTCCGGACACTTTCACCCCCTTCCAGTCCGGACACTTTCACCCACTTCCAGTCCGGACACTTTTCCCCCCTTCCAGTCCGGACACTTTCCCCCCCTTCCAGTCCGGACACTTTCCCCCCTTCCAGTCTGGACACTTTTCCCCCCTTCCAGTCTGGAAACTTTTCCCCCCTTCCAGTCTGGACACTTTTCACCCCCTTCCAGTCCGGACACTTCCCCCCTTCCAGTCCGGACACTTTCACCCCCTTCCAGTCCGGACACTTTCCCCCCCTTCCGGTCTGGACACTTTCCCCCCCTTCCAGTCCGGACACTTTCACCCCCTTCCAGTCCGGACACTTTCACCCACTTCCAGTCCGGACACTTTTTCCCCCCTTCCAGTCCGGACACTTTCCCCCCCTTCCAGTCCGGACACTTTCCCCCCTTCCAGTCTGGACACTTTTCCCCCCTTCCAGTCTGGAAACTTTTCCCCCCTTCCAGTCTGGACACTTTCACCCCCTTCCAGTCCGGACACTTCCCCCCTTCCAGTCCCGGACACTTTCACCCCCTTCCAGTCCGGACACTTTCCCCCCTTCCAGTCCGGACACTTTCCCCCCCTTCCAGTCCGGACACTTTCCCCCCTTCCGGTCCGGACACTTTCCCCCCTTCCGGTCCGGACACTTTCACCCCCTTCCAGTCCGGACACTTTCCCCCCTTCCGGTCTGGACACTTTCCCCCCCTTCCAGTCCGGACACTTTCACCCCCTTCCGGTCTGGACACTTCCCCCCCTTCCGGTCCGGACACTTTCCCCCCCTTCCAGTCCGGACACTTTCCCCCCATTCCAGTCCGGACACTTTCCCCCCCTTCCAGTCTGGACACTTTCACCCCTTCCAGTCCGGACACTTTCCCCCCCTTCCAGTCCGGACACTTTCCCCCCTTCCAGTCCGGACACTTTCCCCCCCCTTCCAGTCCGGACACTTTCCCCCCTTCCAGTCTGGACACTTTCACCCCCTTCCAGTCCGGACACTTTCCCCCCCTTCCAGTCCGGACACTTTCCCCCCTTCCAGTCCGGACACTTTCCCCCCCTTCCAGTCCGGACACTTTCCCCCCCTTCCAGTCCGGACACTTTCCCCCCCTTCCTGTCCGGACACTTTCACCCCCTTCCTGCCAAGGCCAATTTTCAGCTTTCAGCGCTATCACACTTTGAATGACAATTGCGCAGTCATGCAACACTGTACCCAAATAAATTTTTTTGCTTTTATTTGAGACAGATACAATGTTATTTTGGTGTTATTTATTCACCACTGGGATTTTTATTTTTTGCTATATAAATGAAAAATTCAAACGTTTTGAAAAATTAAGTCAAATTTTGTAAATAAATAATCTGTCTTCATAAATCTTGGCCAAAATGTATTCATCTATCTTTAAAAAAAAAACCACCCAAATTAGTTTAAAACCAAAAATTATAATTTTTCTAATTTTTTTAAAAATGTTTATTGTATTTTTTTTATATTATTATATATGTTTTTTGAGGTTTTTTTACATGCTGTCACCCTAGCAGTACAGTGACACCATAGTGACACTGTACTACTTGTGGGGGGTGATGAAGATTTTTTTCTCTTTTTTTACACTGATTGCTTTTACACCCATAAAGGCTGATTGGTCACAGCTTGTCACATGGTACAAGGCTGTTGTGAATAGCCCTGTACCATGTGACCTCTGTGATCATTCACAGATTTCACACATAGTAAGATGTCAGAAGTGACATCTTGTTTACTATTATTATTATTATTATACAGGATTTATATAGCGCCAACAGTTAGCGTTTACAAAATGAAGGCAGACATTACAGTTACAATACAATTTGGTACAAGAGGAAACCGAGGGCCCGGCTCATCAGAGCTTACAATCTAGGAGGAAGGGTTGAGTGATACAAAAGGTAATAGCCAGGGGCGGACTAACCATTTGGAAACTCAGGCACTGCCCAAGGGCCCGGGGTCAGTAGGGGGCCCCATGAGATGCCCCTGGTACTTTTTTCATAGGCTTTTTTGAGTTTGGGCAAGGACACAGGGGCCCCATGATCCCCTATTGCCCGGGGGACTCCATGAGTTGTCAGTCCGCCCCTGCCTGGTACCTTTCATTGGCTTTTTCATAGGCTTTTTTGGTTGTGGGCGAGGACACAGGGGCCCCATGATCCCCTATTGCCCGGGGGCCCCATGAGTTGTCAGTCCGCCCCTGGTAATAGCTATGGGGGAATGAGCTGATGGAGGAAATAAATGGTGGTTTACTAGGTAGAAGCAGGATAGACTTCTTTAAAGAGAGAGGTTTTCAGGGATCATCTAAAGGTGGATAGATTAGGAGCCAGACAGATTGGGGTAGAGAGTTCCATAGGATGGGAGAAGCTCAGGAGAAGTCCTGGAGGAGAGCATGGGAGGAGGTGACACGAGAACTAGAGAGCAGAAGGTCTTGGGAGGATCAAAGAGAGCGGTTTACTACTATTAATGTGATCACTGATTGGCCAATCAGTGATCACATGAATCTGGACCTCACACAGAGTTCCCGTACAACGATCTCCGGATGCATTGGGCACTGACCGTGGTGCCACGCACTCCCAGGGAGCATGCACAGGCAATGGATGCTGGGGGACATTTAGAAACATCCACCCACATCAGCAGCACCCCCAGGAAGTGGTTAATTGTTTTTTTATTTTTTGGCCGCTATCAAGAAAAGGAGACAGGACAAAGCACTCGGGACAAAATGTATGTGAAATGTTTTGAAACAGCAATGTAATAATCATTTTTTAAAAAAATGAAATTTTTTAAAAAATTTAAAATTTGCCACCGGTTCCGGCCCCCGTACGTCCCGAGTACATAAGTAATCTCCCGAAATAACAAATTTTCCACGTTAAAATGAATATAGCCAATCTTTCGAAACAACTTCCGAAAATACAAATGGATTTGGAACAACAAATATATGAAACAAATCTGAATATACCAAATTAATCGGAATTTAGAAAATGAATCTGAATATACAAAACGAATCTGAATATACGAAATGAATCGTAATACACAAAATGAATCTGAATATATGAAGCGAATCTCAATATATGAAATGAATCGGAATGCACAAAATAAACCTGAATATACAAACATATCCGAATATATGAAACTAATCTGAATATATGAAATTAATCTTAATATACAAAACAAATCTGATTATATGAAATTCATCGGAATGTACAAAATTAACCTGAATATACAAACATATCCAAATATATGAAAAGAATCCGAATATATGAAGCAAATTTGAATATATGAAATTAAACTGTATATATGAAACAAATCTGAATATACAAATTGAATCTGAATATACGAAATAAATCTGAATATATGAAACAAATCTGAATATATAAAAAGAAACTGAATATACAAAATAAATCTGAATATACAAAACAAATCTGAATATATGAAATTAATCGGAATATACAAAATGAACCTCATTATGCAAACATATCCGAATATATGAAACGAATCCGAATATATGAAATTAATCAGAATATATGAAATAAATCTGAATATATGAAACAGATCTGAATATATGAAGCAAATCTGAATATATGAAATGAATCCGAATATATGAAATTAATCTGAATATATGAAGCGAATCTGAATGTATAAAATGAATCTGAATATACGAAACAAATCTGAATATATGAAATTAATCGGAATATACAAAATGAACGTGAATATACAAACATATCCGAATATATGAAATTAATCTGAATATATGAAGTGAATCTGAATATATGAAGTGAATCTGAATATATGAAACAAATCTCAATATGTGAAATGATCCGCAACACAAAAAATTAACCTGAATATACAAACATATTCAAATGTATGAAAAGAATCCGAATATATGAAACGAATCTGAATATATGAAACAAATCTGAATATATGAAATTAAACTGTATATATGAAACAAATCTGAATGTATAAAATGAATCTGAATATACGAAACAAATCTGAATGTATAAAATGAATCTGAATATACGAAACAAATCTGAATAAATGAAACAAATCCAAATATATGAAATTAATCGGAATATACAAAATGAACCTGAATATACAAACATATCCGAATATAAGAAACGAATCTGAATATAAGAAACAAATCCAAATATATGAAATAAATCTGAATATATGAAACAAATCTGAATATATGAAACGAATCTGAATATATGAAATGAATCCGAATATATGAAATGAATCTGAATATATAAAACAAATCTGAATATACTAAATAAATCTGAATATTTGAAATGAATCGGAATGTTCAAAATGAGCCTGAATATACAAACATATGCGAATATATGAACGTCGTCAGGACGTTCCCTAGTCGTTGGTACGGCGCATGCGCAGCCAGGCTGGGTCCGTGTTTTTCAATACGCTGCTTATGCTGGGCTCGGCTTAGACACATCTTCTTGTAAGTGCAATATGTTTGGTTAAATTGACATTTTGATGAAGTACTGCACCATGAGTCTTTATTCCCTTGTATTTTGAGTGGAGGTCTGATCATCCCAAGGATTCGGGGGTTGAATGTTGAAGTGGATCTAGATGGTACACAATCTCTGCAGAGTATTGCTCCCTGGAGACCAGTCATCAAATTCCTCGTGTTGCTGCCTCCAGTAATTGATCATCGCTCCCAGAGCAGAAAGCATTATATGCTGATTTGTAACATGATCAGCTTCTCGCTCTGGTGAGTTCATTCAATCTATTCGGTGGTGGATGCACTTTTGGTGATATTTGGTTGAACATTTATTTTATCACGCATCATCTGTTTTTGGACTTTTTTGGTTGGACTTTATTATTATTTATTGATTTATTGTATTTTTGATTTAACTTCCCTAGCGGTCTGATTATTTCAGATTTTTGGTGCTGAAAGCGGTACTTTTTTTGCATGGAAATATGTATTTTTTTTTATTGTAGGCTGTAATTTTTAGGAATAACTCACTGAAATCTGTCCGAACAAGAGTCTAGTAAACATGATAAAACTTGAAACACGAAATCATAAATTATAATTTAATAAATAATCATAAAAAATAATAATATAATAATAATACATTTAATTCAATAATATAATCAAACCAAAAACACAGAAATGTGAAATAGAGCGCCAAGTTCGCACATCGCTGAGCAAAGTCGCAGAATCGTTTTCAGTGTCTGATGAGGAATTTCCCCCACCAATCATTATCACTCAATTCTGCAAGTGGTTCTGATTTACTATCGCTGTTCTAAAAACCGCGTCTGACCTAAAGGGACGCTTTTTGGGGACGCCATGGACGTTTCTCAGTTTCCAGGCAGAAAGAACAGTAAAAATGCAGGCAGGGCGCCGGACAAAGCACTCGGGACAAAATGTATGTGAAATGGTTTGATACAGGAATGTTATACTATGTGATTTTACTGTATTTAGTGAATGTCACTTTTTAAAATTTTTAAATTTCCCGCCAGTTCCGTTCCCCATATGTCCCGTACGTCCCGACGTCGCAGTTACGGTCCGTAACCCGGAAGACAGATGCCGGCGTTGGCCGGGGACACTGCAGGGGGGACATCGCGGGAGCGCAGGACAAGGTGAGTGCAGAAGAGATCCCGGAGCAACGCTGCAGTGTATTCCCGAGTGTAGCTCGGGGTTACCGCTTGTGGTGCTGGAACTTTACCCCGAGCTACACACCCGGGAATACCGCCAGGGGGGATAAAGTAGAATGTTTTACCTCCTACAAAAAATCTCTTACCCTTTCAAGTGCACTGTTTATAATATCAATGGACATGAAACAAGCTCATATCGAGTTTAGTGTCACATGGGTTTTTCGCTGTTGGGTTCCAGGTGGTCCCTGAGATCCAACGCTGGAATTCATTCTGTACAGCTGTAGGGATTCTCCCGGCAATCCTCTTTACTGAAATTCTCTAATTATCCACCGGATCTCTTGTACAGGCGATGGGAGAGGGTCTCCTGCCGCCTTCCGCCACTTTCTGCCAAGCCTCACCGGGGAACCTGGGATTGTAGCCAGCGATTTCACCGACTGACCATAGAGATCATGGAGGACCGGAAGATCCCCAATGATCTCTATGGTCTAAGAAACCAGAAGCGATGAGCATTTTGTTACTTCAGGTTTCAGCCTATCAGACCGATCTGTGTCTGATCGACTGCTTTGGAGGCCAGATGCGAGGTCTGAGGTCTATTAGACCCCAGATCTCTCTATAAAGAGTACCTGTCACTGCCTATTGCTATCACAAGGAATGTTAGCATTCCTTGTGACAGCAGGAAAAGTGATTAAAAAAAAATTAGAGAAATACTGACTGTAGTCTCATCCACTTTGACTTGATGTACATCCCCCAGTGTTCACAAAGTAAGGCAGCCATCCTCCTGTCCCAATGCCAGACCCTTTTCTGGGGTTGTGTCAGTGGAGACCGAAGTCCCATCCACGTACATTAGCTCAAGCTGCCATTGTGAGGTGCCGATTGCATCCTCTTACTGTAGCTCCTGCAGTGCTGATTGTTGTGGGCAGAGGTCAACAACGCCATGCCCTGATGCCAGCGCTTTTGCTGGAGGCTCGCCGTCTGGTTCCTCCTCAGCAGAAAAGTCAATCAAATCCCCAGTTTCTGGAACTGGTGTCTGGGGATAGGGGTTCACCATCTCCTGTCTGGGGAACCCAGAAGTTGTTACCAGTGCTGGGCAGAGTTCAGTAATATTTGGCCCTGTTGCCAGCTCTTCTGCTGGAGGCACACCGGCTGGTTCCTCCTCAGCAGAAAAGTCAATCAAATCCCCAGTCTCTGTAACTTGTGTCTGGGGATAGGGGTTCACCATCTCCTGTCCGTGGAACCCAGAAGATGTTACCAGTGCTGGGCAGAGTTCAACAATGTTTGCCCTGTTGCCAGCTCTTCTGCTGGAGGCTCACCAGGTTGTTTTCCCTCAACAGAGAAGTCTATCAAATCCCCAGTCTCTGGAATTTCCACTGCTGATTCTTGGGCATGCTGTTGCCTGTATGCCCTTACCAGATGCTTTTATTTCATCAGTAAGTATTCCAGATCTGGTTCAAGCTCTGAGACCCCTGTGAGACCGAACATAGCCTCTCTGTCTTCTCGCAGGTCCTCAAGGGTAGGTTCTCCTTTATCGCCAAACACAAAATGATCTGTAAAGCTCTCTCACAGCAGTCCAGGCCCACCAAAGTCATATCCCTCCGGTGAGCATTCTGTTGTCACCCCTAAATATTCCTGCTCTGCGCACCATTGCAGAGCCCGATATCGGTTGTCCAGCTCTATCTCCTGCTGGACCAGCCTGTCCAACTCAGTCACCCATCGCTCCTGGGGTCGCTCTCCCAGGAATGGCATCCGTAAATTCCGATGGTCCCTGGCCCGTTCCCCTGGGGTTGGATAGCACTTGCCCTTGTACATATCAGCAACCTGTAGGGCTCCACTCCAAAGCACCACCCGAATCCACTGCCTGAGCTCCAGGTACTCATCCGCAGACACAGTCCTGGGGTATGTTGCAAGAACAATCCACAGCAGCCCCAGGAACTCTGATGCCAGGTCCATATCTCTAGTGGGGTGACCGACGTCTACTTTCCTGATCTTGAATCCCGGTGGTGGTTTGGATGTGTTCACAGCTTGGAAGCACAATCCCATCGCTTGCCACCAATGTAACGGAACCGGACCCCAACTTCAATGGGGTATTTCCATTAGGATATCGCTTCCCTGTCTGAACACCGACCACTGGCACCACAGCAGACCATACAAGATGAGACAACACCAATTTTGAAGGAAAACAGGAAATTAGACTACTTTATTTTAACACAGATACAAGATATATACATTCAAGGGAACAATTCCCCCTCCCGACACAGGGCAGGGCAATCCACAGCCAGTAACAAGAGAAACCACCAGACAGTCCCATCAGGGGGGAGGGCTGCCGGAAACACCCCACACCAAGCCAATACACACAAACACATACATCCCATAATAGTTTGCTCCCAAGCAAGACACACAATAGAACAATGGGATGCAACCACATGGCATTAAACAATCCACAACCCCCCACCCCACCTATACATGTCTACACAATATTAGGACATATTACCCTGCACCCCTAACAGGCACAGGGTGACTTACACATAAGAGGGATATGGGGAGCTTAGACAGGGATCTCCCCACCTCTTCAAAGTGAGCTGTGTTTCATGGGCCCCCCCCCACCCAAAGTCACTCCCGTGACAACCATTGTACCATTGTACCTTCATCACCATTGTACCATTGTACCTTCAGCCTCAGCAGGCTTCTATCAACAGGTTTTCACTTAGAGGCAAAGCCATGGATAAGGGGGGTACCACCAGCCCTCATGTACGGGAGCCAGGCAAGCAGGGGGGCCCAGGCAACTGAGTGAATCAGATGTGGGCAGGGGGGGATTGCCACATCTGGGGGCAATTACTGGAACTGATCCCCTGTATGGCTGCAGCAGCTGAAAGCTGACTTCTCCTCTCCCTTTCGCTGACTCTCAGCTGCTGCAGAGAGAGCCATACAGGGGATTGGTTCCAGTAATTGCTTGCCTGCTGCACCCATCACCCTCCCTGTGCTCCATAAATTTTCCTCCTACTGCCCAGGTCCCCATGTGTTCCCACCCCTGCTGGTTTCTCTCCTCTCCTTTCCACAGGCGACTGCAAGCACACAATAGGATCCTTGATGGAGAGTGGGGAAAGGGACCAGTAAATATGTCATGTTTACTAGCTCCTTCCTTTCCTGAATGAACACAACGAGTGATCAGTACTAATCATTCACTGTGTTCATTCATAACTGACGCATAGTAAACTTTGATTTTTTCTTTTTTTGGGGGGGGGGGGGGCTATATGGGCCCCCGTGGTTTCTAAAATCAGGCCTGCTTAGGGGGATTACTTAAAACTGGAGCACTCGGAATCTGGTGCAGCCATACATGGTAGCCAATCAGCTTCTAACGTCAGCATGTTCAGTTAAAACCTGGAGCTGCTCCAGAGTTTGCACTCTCCAGTTTTAGTAAATCCCTTCCTCATATTTTTAATTTGTCTTGTTTATTTGGTCTAAAAAGTGAAAGCTGCTTCACAATATTGACTAAGCTCAGTGAACGTTTGCTTGGCAAAAGCGAATACTCCAAACGTAAACCCACACCCATGGCTACTGATAATGTTGGCCTGGATTTAAAGGATTTGGTGGCTGGTTGTGTATGATGAATCATCTGTTTCGTACTCGGGGTGTGTTGTCTGTAGCTATCACCAAGGAGTCTCTTAAGTTGTATCAGAAGACCAACACAATGGTGCTGTTTTACTACAACTGAAACGTGCAAAATCTGGGGCAGCTCTGCATACAAACCAATTAGATTACAGGATTTATTCTTAAAGCTCAAAGGCTACTTTCACCTTTTGAAAAAAAAAATTATAAATACACATTTTTTTGCAGGTAAAAAAAAATGTGCATTTATTTTTTTTTTCTAAGAAGCCTTCAAAGCATTGCACCCACGATTAGGAGATCACGGGTGCAATGTCAGGCTTCTGCAGACTCTCAGGATAGCTGTCTGCCTGTGCAAATTCCAAGCGGACTTTCCTGTGTATTACACTGAGGAGAGGCTTCCGTATAGCCACTCATAGAGCCCAGAGCGGTGGAGGGCTGCAGTGATGGTTGTCCTTCTGGAACCTTGTCCTATCTCCACACAGGATCTCTGGAGCTCAGTCAGAGTGACCATCGGATTCTCGTCACCCGTCTTACCAAGGCCCCTCTCTCCTGATTGATCAGTTTGGCCAGGTGACCAGCTCTGGGAGGAGCTCTGATTGAGCCAAACTTCTTCTATTTGAGAATTATGGAGGCCAATGTGCTCTTGGGAACCTTCAGTGCAGCAGAATTTTTTTTTTCGCTGCCTTCCTCAGATCTGTGCCTTGCAATAATCCTGTCTCTGAGCTCTGCAGGCAGTTCCTTTGATCTTGTGGCTTTTGCTCTGATACTGCATTCCCATATGGAAAAAATATATATATGAAATATAAATTACAAATATTCTTCCCAAATATATTGACATATATTTGAAATACTGCAATTTTGGCCATATTCAATACATTTCAAAAAAATAAAAATTATATATATATATATATATATATATATATATATATATATATATATATATATATACATATATATTATGTTGAAAAGCGTTTTTATTACAAAAGATATGAAAAATAGTTTTAAAAATAAATTTTCAAATATGCTATATGACTTTAACCTCCTCGGCGGTATGATTCTTCCTGATTTTTTGTGCCGAAAACCGTACATTTTTTTGCATGGAAATATGTCGTTTTTTATTGTAGGCTGTAATTTTTAGGAATAAGTCACTGAAATCTGTCAGAACAAGAGTCTAGTAAACATCCCGGGTATGATAAAACTTGAAACACGAAATCATAAATTATAATTTAATAAATAATCATAAAAAATAATAATATAATAATAATAAATTTGATTCAATAATATAATCAAACCAAAAAACACTGAAATTTGAAATACAGAGGCAAGTTCGCACATCGCTGAGCGAAGTCACAGAATCGTTTTCAGTGTCTGATGAGGAATTTCCCCCACGAATCATTATCACTCAATTCTGCAAGTGGTTCTGATTTACTATCGCTGTTCTAAAATTGCTTTTGACGTAAAGGGACGCTTTTTGGACGCCATGGACTTTTCTAAGTTTCCAGGCAGAAAGAACAGTCAAAATGCAGGCAGGGCGCCGGACAAAGCAGTAGGGACAAAATGTATGTGAAATGCATTGAAACAGCAATGACAGCAAAAGTGACATTTTTTTTTAAAATTTCAAATTTCCCGCCGGTTCCGGTGCCCGTACGTCCGGACGTCACAGGGACCGGAACACGGAAGCCAGATGCCGGCATCTGCCGGAGGAGATGGCCGGGGACGCTGCAGGGGACACATCGCGGGAGCGAAGGACAAGGTAAGTGCTGCAGGGACCCCCTGAGCAACGCCGCATGGTAAGCCCGAGTGTAGCTCAGGGTTACCGCTCTTCGTATTGAAATTTTACCCCGAGCTACACTCGGGAAAACCGCTAAGGAGGTTAAAAATACAAATCTACATTTTACAAATATTTGTAAAAATATATGTTAAAATGACTTTTTTATATGTTCAAAAAATCTGGATAATATATTTTAAAGAAATATATTTTTAAAAATATTTTTCATACATATTGTAATATATAATAAACGCATTTCAATATGCAGTATATATATATATTTATTGCAATGTATTTTGAAATATATTGAATATGGTCAAAATTGTAGCATTTCAAATATATGTCAACATATTTGGGAAGAATATTTTTAAAATATTTTTCAAATATATTTTTCTTCCATGTGGGTTGTCAGCTGTGAGGCCTTTTTTAGAGAGGTGTTTGCCTTTCCAAATCATGTCCAATCAATTTCATTTACCACAGGTGGACTCCAATCAAGGTGTAAAAACATCTCAACGATCAAGACAAACAGGAAGCATCTGAGCTGAATTTCAAGTGCTGCTGCAAAGTCTGAATACCTCTACCAATGTGATATTTCAGCTTTTTCTTTTTAATAAATTCACAGATTTTTCTAAAATACTGTTTTCACTGTTGTCATTCTGGGGTACTGAGTGTGTATTAATGACAAAAAATGGATCCGTGCCTTCATGTTGTTTACGCCAAATTCTGACCCTACCATATGAATGTCACAGCTGAGATCCAGACTCATCAGACCAGGCAACTTTTTTTTTCCAATCTTCTATTGTCCAATATTGGTTTACTTGTGTGAATTGTAGGCTCTGTTTCCTGTTCTTAGCTGACAGGATTGGCACCCAGTGTGGTTTTTTGCTGCTGTAGCCCATCTGTTTCAAGGTTGGATGTGTTGTGTGTTCAGAGATGGTATTCTGCATACCTTGGTTGTAACGAGGGGTTATTTGAGTTACTGTTGCCTTTCTATCATCTCAAAGCAGTCTTCCCATTCTCCTCTGATATCAATAAGGCATTTTCCTCCACACAACCACCACTCACTGGATATTTTCTCTTTTTTGGACCATTCTCTATAAACCCTAGAGATGGTTGTGTGTGAAAATTGTAATAGATCAGCAGTTTTTGAAATACTCAGACCAGCCCATCTGGCACCAACAACCATGCCACATTCAAAGTCATTTAAATCCCCTTTCTTCCCCATTCTGATGCTCGATTTGAACTTCAGCAAGTCGTTTTCCCC